GTAGTATACCACCAATTGGGCACATTAACAGGTGCAAATACTGTTTACAGTGACGACACTTAATGCAAACATAGAATCTTCTAACAAATGTTATTTGAATATTATTACTGAGTACTAGTATATCTGAACATGTATTTCAGAGGAGGAACATAGAATATGTTGGTTGGTTTACTGTTGAGTGACTGAATCTCATTGATGTAGTGGTACCAATTCATATGTGGTGTGCGAAGAACTTTTTGAAACACTGATTTGATTTCCACTCAATTGGTATCTGATGTGAAAAAATGTTTACTTTTTTTACAATTTAAAGATTGACCATCGAATGACTTATGACACTGTAAAATAATACTGTTTGTATTCACGTCTCACTTTGTTAGTCTGCATATTTTTAAATGACTGATTGATCACTGGTGGTAAAACAACTAAAATGCTATCCAATTAGGCAATGCGTATTTATTTTATTTTTTATTTTTTTCACTTGCTCACATTCATATTTTGATCCAAATTGAAGTGGAACATAGTTTTATGTAACATGTCTTTAGCTGAGACGTGATCTGTGAAACGAACACTTGAAGATGTGTACACGAATGAAGGTGTCACTCAGTCACATAATTTAGCATGTTCTGTTTTGTTGTTTTAAAACAGAAAATAAAGCAGAATAAATATTTATGGTTAAATGTGGTCAAAATTTTCTATTCATCTCTATAGTGTTTTTAGAGTAACGCTAGAGCATTCAAGTATGTATGTTTTTCACCATAAGTGCAAGTTTTAATAAATTATGAATATTTTGATTCACCTATGACACCTAGAGATTAACTTATTAATTTTGTATGTTTGTGTTCTTCAGAATAGCCTTGGCTGAACGTGAGAGTTTACAGAGAGCGGCCAATGCAACACCCAAACAAAGAGGAATATGGGGGATGATTAAAAATGTCACTGGTTCTAGTGGCAAAGAAAGTATCCTTTAATAATAGTTTGTCATGTATTGCCTTTTTCTGTTACAATGTTTGTACTAACTTTGATTTATAGCCTGACATAATTTGGTATTTTGAGTTTATTTCAACCAATAGTCATAGCTTGAATTAAATACTGTAAAATCTGTATTAAAATGGTGCAATGCAACAGAGGGGATGCCATTTCTATTAGAGCATCTACACATGAAAAAAGATGAATTTTTATTCTCAATTGTTCAAGAAAGAATGGGTGTGGCTTCTACGGATAATACAGATTTTACTGTACTCTGTTGCCAAACTTATTACTAAATGAAAATGTCTGGTGGTTATTAGTCCCCGTTCGGACGAAGTCCGAAAACGGGGACTTATAATTCGGTCTCTGTGCGTGCGTCCGTGCGTGCGTCCGTGCGTCCGTCCGGTGTCATATCTCAGAGTCCCTTGGACCGATTCCGTTCATTCTTTGCATGTGCCTAGTACTTTATGTGGGACATATGCACATGCAGTGGTTTAGCGATTCGATTCAAAATGGCCAACTGGCAGTCATCTTGTTTTTTGAAAATGTTGTATTTTGGACATGCTTTGTCAGTTGTCATTCAAACTTGGTACATAGATTATACATGTTAGGATACATGTCCATGATGATTTATTTCACAATTGGATCAAAGATGGCCGACTGGCAGCCATCTTGTTTTTTTGAAAATGTCGTATTTTGGACATGCTTTGTCAGTTTTCATTCAAATTTAGTACATAGATCATACATGTTAGGATACATGTCCCCGACCGTCCGTGAGTTCCTGAGTCTGTTCGTCCGACCGTCCGTGTGTCCGTCCGACCGTTCGTGCGTCCGTCTGTCCGTGCGTCCGTTCGTGTGTCCGTCTATCCGTGCGTCCGTCTGTCCAACGTCATATTTCAGAATCCTGTGGACCGATTCCGTTCATTCTTTGCATGTGCCTAGTACCTTATGTGGGACATATGCACATGCAGTGGTTTAGCGATTCGATTCAAAATGGCCGACTGACAGCCATCTTGTTTTTTGAAAATGTTGTATTTTGGACATGCTTTGTCAGTTTTCATTCAAACTTGGTACATAGATTATACATGTTAGGATACATGTCCATGATGATTTATTTCACAATTGGATCAAAGATGGCTGACTGGCAGCCATCTTGTCTTTTCTAATGAGGAGTGAGATGGAGGCGACACACGAAAGCTCTGGTGCGGCCAACAATAGCAAGGAGAAAGATGATGGTGAGTCTAGTAGGCCGGATTACAACAGAAC